TGCCGTTAGAGGATGACATCCAGCAGCTGAATAAAAATTAATTATGCGAAACTTCGATAAATTATCAATTAATTATTTTTTTGTCCATGCATGTACGCAGTACTTTCCATGTTTGATTACAACTGAAAACAACAAAGAAATCACAAAACAACAAAAACAACAAAAACAAGCCAACCTTTAAACAAAAACTAAAATTTAAAACAATGCAAACAAGAAAACAGCAAAAACAAAAAAAACAAAAGAAAAAGCAAAAAAAAACAGGATTCGTGACAGAAATCGCTTGCCAAAAAAATTATTTATTTCTTACAACTTCTCACTGACATAGCTTTTAATCCCCGGCCCGGTTCCTGCTGCAATGCCCAACGATATGGAAACGACGAGAGCGGGTAGACCTGTGGATTCGAAATTCGAAGGGTCAACAGAGTCAAACGATGATGATGATGATGTCTAAGATGATGATGGCAATATTCATCTTTTACTTTTCAAAAGATTATCAAAGAGAGAATGGGTTTTTAATTCATAGTTACCCCATGAAAATCCATGTGAAACCTTCATCTTGTCGTTGATGTCGTAAACTTTTACAACAAACAGGTAGAGATAAACTCCCTCGATCAACATCCAGCAGAAAGCGGCCATTAGGAAATATTGAACAAAAGCTGCTACTGTAACACAGGCAGACTGCACAGGAATGAAAAATTTGAGCTATGAGTTGGTTGAAAGTCATAAAGATTTACCGAAAGAGATTCTTGTCTTCTCGTTTGATATAATATCTCACCTTGTTCTCAACAGCACCACTTCCGGTTAGGAAGAAAAGTTGACCTGCGCCAAGTGAAGCGACTAGACTCACTCGAATCTGAGATAAAGGCCCTCTCATGTCTCTAATCAAAAGCAAATGACTGATTTTATTCTACATCAGTTCTATCCTCATTTTATACAAAGCCTGGTTATATTTTCATGATTCGACTTGGCTGCTTAGAGGAATCTTAGCTATGCACATTTAAACTGATATCATTTCTTGTGTCTTTATCCTCGGTTTGCTTTGGAATGCTTGCGTGGAACTATGTCATGTACTTACGTAAGAACAGCATAACTGGTGATCGTTAAAGTGATTCCAACCAGAGAGAAAGACAAGCCCACATATGTGAGTATTTCCAGCGCTTTTTCGTCAGTCTTAGAAATGAATACAAAAACAGTGATTCAATACTTGTAACGGAAGGGGGCCACATATCATATGGCTGGATTAATGTAAATGTATGAAAAAGTACCACACCAATGCTATCTAGTCTTAGTGCCTTCTGAAATCAATGCATGTATGCTTAGCAATATTCTTACCTTAGTTAAACCGTTATCACTAGTTCCCCTGTCAAACTGCATAAGAAGCGCAAAGTGAGTCAAATGATTGCAGCTACACTCGGTGTAAGAGTCGTTCCTCGATAGCAGGAGGCACCCTTGTCCGGACCATCTTGAATGACACCAGAAAACAGTTAGAAAAGCAGTCATAAAGTAGTCAGTCAATGAACATAAGAAACAAAACAATAGCCAGTTTTAGAGACCTTGGCACGTGGAAGCCTGAGAAGGAGAAAAAGAATGAGTAAGAGAAAGGAGTAAGAGGTGAACACACAATGTGATGAACCAGTGCATAAAAGCAAAGTCCTTAAGCAAATTTATTATTTGAAGTGAATGATGTCATCAATTCATTGAAAGCTTTTCACCTGTTTTCCGAAGTATTCCAAAACACACAGCTTCTGTTCGACGCGTTCTGAAACTGTAAAGTACTGCTAGTATTACGTAGTGCAGCGACTTGGTGGCTAATGTGTAGTTGGGAGTGCTCTCGCCGGATTTTTTTAAAACCCTCCCCCTCCCCCCTCCCCCATCACTTTGTGACACATGTCAAGGAATTGTTCACAAGACTTCTGGTCTAGTTCCTCTTCCTTTAAAGAAACTCCAAAAACGAAATAAATAAGACCTTGACGTGATAAGATGATGATAATACTAATAATACTAATAGTAACGATAATAATCATAATAAAAAGAATAGCGATGATGGTGATGATAACATTGATAATAATGATAGTAATAATAAGGGAAAAAAACCAAATCTAATCAAATCAAAACAAAACAAACAAAAAAAAAGAAAAAAGAAAAAAAGACAACGAAATAACAAATTAAAATAAAGCAAAACCAAACAAACGAAATCAATAGCACGCACGACAACGAGCAACAACAACAACAAAAACAACAAACAACAGCAACAAAATACGTAGCTAGACAAGAATGGATCAAAGGGATGCAAAAGGAAGATAAATTGGCAAAATCTGTGTAAATTCCTTTATAGTGTTACGAATTCAGATGGAGCTCTCTCTTGATTAATTGTAACTTACCGCTAGGTTTTTAAATTTCAATGTAACATTCTTCCTGAAAGTGTTGTTCCTCGGCCATATCGTTGCAGATAAGATATTACTAATGAATAACCAAAAGACAAATAAACAAGAAAAAAAATTTAAAAAAAAACCAATCAAACAAACAAACGGACCGACAAAGGACAAAAAAAGAAATTAATAAAAAGATAGCAAAAGAGAATCAGGCCGAAAGAAACAAAAACAAAGGGGAAACTCAAACTAAGGTCGAGGATATTTCTATTTTACTATTTACATTCCCTTCGTAGGCTATCAGCACACCAAAATAGATTAATTTAAAAGAAAAGATACGAAATGCAATACTAAGTTTTAGCACACCTGAATCTATTGAGAGGAGTAGAGTCGGTCTGGTTTTTCAGGAATACTTTATGGAGATCTTTGTAAATGACACAAAGTACAACTGATCCTAAGATTTAATAATAGAAACAATTGTATTACTTCGAGAGTTTTTAAAAAAAGGACAAGTTATCACGGTTTAAAACATTGCGCTTTTATTGGCATGTTTCATTGATATGCCCAGCTTTGTTATAAGAATAAACGACTTCGACCAAAGAAGAAATGAACTGAAAATAAAATAAAAGAAAACCAAAACAACCAGCTTAAGATATCAGCCATTCACTTTCGATGTCTTTAATACTTGAAACCCAGTCCCCTTTTGACCAAGAACACAGATAATCGCTAAAATAATTTGAATAATACGAGAAAAATATATCATTTTCTATGCTAAAAAAAAGTGAAAAATATAGCTCTCCAACCCTTATCGAAGCCTGTAACAGGAAGGCTGATGTAGTTTTCTCCTTTATCATCCTCAAATTGTACTCCAGTCTCATTGTCGTGGAAAATCTTCCTGACCAATATATCTAATTGCAAAACAGCGACTTATTTTACGTGAGGGCCAAAATAAACAAGTTATCGTCCTCAAAAGTTTAGGAGTAAAAAACTGAAGAATCATCACTAGGAGGTAGTAAATGCAAGTAGTTTTCAGGGGTTATCAGTCAAAGGAGCGTTCTCTATTTAATTGTCAGATAAACTGCTGGTGATCATTTTTAAATCAAAAAACATATCACTGCAATGAATTCAAAGGGTTTCTTATTTTTATATTATTAGTTTATTGATTCATTTTCCCCTGTTTATGACTTATTCATAAGTATGACGATATTGAAGAACATATATATATATATATATATAAATATGTTATAAACTGCCTTAAAAGAGGTCCAACACGTTTCAGGTGTCGCGAAAATGATTCCATGGAGAGTGGCTACAGACAAAGCTTATACCCAAAACGTCGAATAAGTAGTAGCGTTAGCAAATGTTTATAAAATCTGCCACGGATGATGCATGTATCCATCCTGAACTTCGAATTTGAAATCAAGAACTGACTTCCAAACCAGCTTTTAAGATCTACTCACCTGCATTTTCACTACTGATGTACATCTTAGGTACGGTCTGAGTAAGGTGATTTTGAGCATAATTCCCAATGAACTCCTCCAAATCACTAATAGTGAGGAAAGTGCGTTCCATCCTTTCTTGATTTACATCATTTTCAGAAGACCCCATCACTTCTTTTAGGATGGTGTCAACAAGTTTCTTGTTTGAAAACTGAGAAGGCGAAAAAAAGTCTCAATAAGGTATCAGTAGTTGGTTTAGATATAACCTTCAGTAGCCTAACTATTAAAGGTATTGATAAATTCTGGGCTACACAGTCTATGGAAAAGCTTTCTTTAACCAAGGCACCAGCAATAAACTTAAGAGGAGTTTTAATTTACTGACGTCTTCTATTTATACGTTATTGCCATGGTTTCTGAGCAAAGTATAACCAACATAATGCATTGACGTGAATGAAAGTGATCC